CTTTCCTCTTCGCTCCTCGCCCAACTCGGCATCACATTCTCCCCTCTTTCGCTCCTCGCAGCCTCCCCCTTCTGCACAATCCTCCCCTCCTATTGCCTCCCGCTCCTCCTCTCCTCCTCCTACTTCCGCGATCGCCTTCTTTTGCTCCTCCTCCGATCACTTCTCGGCCCTCCTGCATCCTTACTCCTCCATCCCTTATTCCATCACCTCTCTCGCGCCTCCGCTCCTCCTCCTCCCCCCTATCTCCATGCACCTTTCTCTCGCTCCTCCTCCTCCTCTTCGTCCTCGCTCTCTCGCTGCCTGCCATGCTATGACCTTGCTCATAGTCGAGTCTCCATCACCGTTCTCCGCGGCTCCTCCTCCCCCCTCCCGCGCTCCTCGCTCCTCCTTCTGCTCTTTGCTGCCTGCGCCGCTCCCCTCCGTACTCATCACCTCCCTTCCCCCATCCATCCAATGCACCCACGTCCCTCGCCCCTCCTGCCTCATCCTCCGTCCTCCCTACTTTGCATCACCGTTCTTCGCTCAGCTCCTCCTCCTGCCTCTCCGCCTCCTCGCTGCATCCTGCCTCCCCAATTGCCTGCGTCCCACTTATCTTCCCATCACCTTCTCCCGCTCTTTCTCTCCTCCTCCCTTCTCCATCACCTTCTCCGCTCCCTCCTCCTCTTTCCTTCTCCCTCCTGTCTCCCCGCCTGCCCGCGTATGCGCATCACCTTCTCCTGCCATCCGCTCGCTCCTTCCTCCTGCCCGGCCCCCTCCTCATCCTCCTCGTATGACTCTACTTCATTCGAATCGTCCGATTCACCTTCTCCGCTTCTCTCGCCCCCTTGCTCTCTCCTCGCTCCTGCCCGCTCACTTCCTCCTCCTCCTCCCCTGCTCCATCGCCTCTTCCTTCCTCCTTCTCCTCCTCCTCGCTCACTCCTCCTCAGTCCTCCTGCCCCTTACGTCCTCCTCATGACCGTCTTCATTCGATCTCCATGCTCAGGGGGGCAGGTAACGTTTATTGTAAACACAGAGCATCAAGAGGCTAAATAATACCTAGTAGTGTACAACGGAAAAACGGAGAAATAGTGCTGATTTCACGAGCATGATTATTCTACTTTGTCTGCGAAGTCTAGAATAATTTTCATGGTATTGCATTAAGCAGAATTCCTTGCTCTCTACAACAAGACCCAACCCGCATTGTCAACTACGATACTCCTAGGCGTGAGATATCGCGCTCTCCTAAACGGCTCCCGCTCTCCACAGGCATCACAGCGCTCGAATCCACATAATGTCAGCAAACGCTCCAACGGGCGTACTTAAGCAATGTTGGCTATCGGTTTTCCGTCAACCGCTTGGAGCGCTGATATGATTTGATGTCACAATGCCCAATTCT